ATGCAGCTTCCTCACCTCTCCAACACCCATTTATGAAAGGCTGTCAGTGTGGCTAAAGAAACACAAACTCAGCTGAGTGTGCTCAGAGTGAAAAACAAAAACTGGTTCATGAACAGGGCTCCCAAAGGCAGACCTAACATCATCACTACAGCCGATTGACCTGAAAGGAAAACATGGATTTTCTCCACTGCTCGAGACAAGCATATCTGAGTGGATCTGTAGACAACAAATGGCCTTTTTATTGCAACCCACATAAATCAATAGTGTTTCTAAAACAAATCCAGTGTAAGCAATGGCTCCTTTTTGTGTCTGGCCCTTTGAGTAGTGATGTAAATGAACTGCTGGGCCCAGATTCTGTGCTGTGGCATGCCTGCTTTGGTCTGCACTGTTGACGGAAAGTGTTACTACAGCCAACAAAATGGGCCATGGGAGGACCAGCACACTGTAACTGGATCCTCTGGTGACATAGAGCTGGTGCAGCAGTTATACCCAGCTCTCCCTGCCGTCGGGACAGGGGGCATGACTGGCACATGTAAGAAAGACAACAGTCAGAAAAGGAAATTACAAATCTGCTGAATAAATCCTTTAAATGCAGAATTATTCATTTGCGAAAGGGCTATTACAGCATTCTTTTCTCTGACAGACCACACACAGGGCAACTTTGGGGAATACTATTACTTAAATGCTAACTTCTGCTTACTTAGTAATGCAAGATAAGATCTATCATTTGTGTAATGCATGGAAGCATTTGCTGTTCCCCGGTCAATAATTACTTGTTTGGTAGCGCTCTTCTGTATATTGCAATCAATTACTTTCTCTTTTGTAGTTCAATAGCTAATGACTTAGTTAAGGAGAGTACTGCTTTGCAAACTGATGCAATATATACCAGCAATGGCTACAGCTACACCTGAGGGCTACTAGAGGGGAAAGAATGTGCTGAGCATAGTGGTACAACTCTGTTAATCAAACTTATTCTATCAGATGTAGGGTTACCATTCGTCCGGATTCCCCCGGACATGTCCGGCTTTTTAAGCTAAAAATAGCGTCCGGGGGGGAATTTGTAAATGTCCGGACTTCATCCCCCCCATGCAGAGCACGCGCGGCTAACAGTGCAGCTGGCCGGATGGTGCCACTTACATGGGGCTCCGACACTCAGCCAGAGAGAGCACGTCCTCCTCCTCCTCCCCCCTGCAGCAGAAATCACTCCCTCCCTCCCTGCATCGCAGATCGGCTCCAGCAGTCTGGAGCTCCTCCCCCACTGCTGCCCAGCGTCCGACGAGCGGCTAATGCAGTTCCTGAGCAAGTTCACCGAGACATTAGGTGAAGAAAGGCCAACAACAAGGGGGTCAGGGGGTTGGGAGAAGGGGCAGGGAGGTTT